AATGCAATTCCAGAATCTCTTTCCTGTGTTTGGAGAATACTTAGAGATAATAGTTAAACATCTCCTGAAGCAAGTATGAACACCATCATAGAAATACCTCTGAGCCAAGGTTTATCATTTATTGGCATGACACATCTATTGCCTGGAATTGCTTGGGTTTTTTTCCCTCTATCTTATTGCTTTGAGTATCTGTTTAGCTTTGTGCTTTGGTACCTCCTATATAGCTGTCTCAAAAAGCTAACAAATACAGGTGAACCTGTTGTGTTTTGCTGTTTGTGCATCTTATGAATGGTTAGCAGATCTCTCTTTTTAGGTTACTGTGAAGTTATCCAGTAATCTAGGAGAAGCACACTGACACACATCAGTATAGGGAATCACTTCATGAAGTCAGGAAGAAGAAACTGTTGAATTGTTGGAATGTCTCAGTCACCCTCAGGGAGAGAGGGTCGTCCATATAAAAGATCAGATCTGTGATGTCCACTTTTAGTGTGTAGTAAGACTCAGCTGGGTGCCTGAACTCTAACCAGTTGCACAAGGTGTGTGTTCAGCCACCAGCAGAGTGGGACAATCTTGAAGGGCTCATCCGGCAGTTGCTGAGTCTCAGAGCAATCTCCATAGCAGTAAGTGTGGGTAGTGCAGCTGGCTCCTGCAAAAACCTAAGGAATCTCTGAATTCCCATTTAGGAAGATGGGAGGAGATTCTTAGACATTAAGAGACCACAGGGTCTTCTAGTTCTTTTTTTTTTTTTTTAATGAGAAAGTCTGAAGCACTTGCACTGTGCTTTTCCACCTTCCCTTACCAGGATTCTTCTACTTTTCAGGTTTCTCTGCCTAATTTGTTGCTCTTTATCATTTATTCTGTGTGTTTTAGAAGACTGTGTAGAGAAGAAACTCTAGCCTGTGATGATTGTTTGCTGTCTTTTATTTTATTTTTAAAGATGATCCTTTAGTATGTTACTTTTTTGTAGGCTTTCAGTCCTACAGCACGTAAGGATTGAATGAGATCTTTTAACCTTATTGCTCAGACGTTTCTGCCAGTCCCAAGTATAAAAGCTGATCTTTAGCTAAGTGGCAGAGTTAGCAGCTGAGACTGGATGAAGTTGTCTGTTGAGGATATGCTACAGTTAATGGAGCTGATGAGGATGTCACCTACAGCTTTTGAGTGGCTGGTGTTGTTTCATGCAGAGTAGCCTGCTGGAGCTGTAGTGGGTCATGGCAATTTCTTCTCCCAGCAGGTACCTGTAGGTTCTAGAAAACTGACCACATACTGTAATGCCAGGGGGTGTGAGAGGCAAACACCTGATGTCACTGTCCAGTCACACGTTGAGCCAGGTCTTAGCTTCCAGCTGCAAAATGCTTGTAACAACAACAGATCTTGCTGAAGACACTTGTACCCTGCTTTTGTTGTGAGACTGCACAGGTGCAGAGGTTTGTCACTCAGTGCTGTTATGTATGCAGACTATTGATACGGAGTAAAAAAGTTTGAAACTAAAATCTTTTGCTGTGTAAGTGGGTCCATTAATAAAAGGCATATACTGTTCTACATTAGATTAGTAGCTGCTACTCCATGGATGTCTCTAGTTTCAGTCTTTTTTCCTGTACTTAATACAGAACAAATTAAAATTTTCATGCAAAGATGTTTTCTTTCCAAAAAGATCTAGCTCTGACACCACAATAATCACAGTAAGCTGCTGATATAAAAAAAATACCGATTTTGGGCAAGATGTAATTATCAGGTGTTGTTTCTTTCTGTTTTTTTTTCCCAAGGGTTCTCTTTGAACACTTGCTTCCTCTCATTACTGAGGCTGTTTGCAGGTGTGTGTAACGCAGTGGTGACTCCAACCCTTGATAGGCAATGGAGGACTGGTTAGTCTGGCTTTGCTGAGGCTGTGTGGCACCAAGCCTTCTCCAGCTAAAGAAAAGGCAGTGGACAATATTAATCCATTCTCTGTTGCTTCTAAAAGTGGCACAGGTATATAATTATAGTTGGATCTGTTTGGGCTTTAATTTTTTTTTTTTACATTTTTGCTTGGATGTTTGTGTTTGTTTTGTTGGGTTGGTTGTTTTTTTTTTTTCCTCTCCCCTGTTTATTTTCATTCTTTTTGTTTTGTCTTTTGTTAAGGTGTATATGAAGGAGCCCTAAAAATACTTTGCCTTATATTCAGGTGCCTTCGTAGTTAAAAAATTAGGAATACTGAGAAGGGTGCTTGGAACAGGCACTTACCAGAGAAGTGAGGTACTGTAGACCAGTTGATTGTAACTTATTGTGGATCAGCTGTAATTTGCTAATAGCAGAAATCCCTGCTGTGCCCTGTGGCTGTTGGAGCCTCCCTAGTGCTAGGATCTGTTTCTGAATAACAGTCTTGAGTCAGAGCAATGGGGCAGGCCAGGTGGTGTTAGCTGTTGGGGTTACAGGAGAACTGTGGGGCTGCTTTTTTATATGAGGGGGAAAAATGCCTTTCTAGCTAGATAAGGTGTCAAGAATCACCTTGTAAATGCAGTTGCTGTTATTTTCAGGCAAGTGCTGTAGTTTCATCTCCTAGGTGTGATGACAAAATTGACCAAGTATTGGAGCGTGATTTTTACTGGCATTACTGCACTGATGCTTGATTTACAAGGCATTCACTGCTTAGGGGTAGTTTGTAATTCAAAAACTATCTTCTGTTTTGAATACCGTAGTTTTTACCATGGTAGTACTACAGGGAGATTTTGAAAGATTGTATCTTTGTGCTCTGCTGTTGAGTTCTTCAAATGGTGCTGCTATGCATGAGGTGCCTTATTTTGTTTTTCTGCGTAGTGTTTATTGGTACTGGAAGCGTTGCTATGTTCACACTGAAGTGCAGAGATTCAGCCATTATAAGCCTCTATTTTTCGGTTCTTAAATTTATAGCAGCATTGCCCTCTAGAGGGCACTTCTTCTGATAATTTTAGTATATTATTCTTTAATATAAATACTAAATTTCTATTAATTAGTATGCAGTACTCCTACTGTGTAGTGAACAAGATGCATCTGTTGAAAACCAGTTACCTCTTTACCTGTCAGGAAGTGAGGTACAGGACAAGAATAAGTGAAATGTTTGCTTCTGTTCTCTGAAAGGATGCAGCCTATGCTATTGGTTTTAAGCAGAATTGTTTCTGAAATAGCTATTAGGTAAGAGGTCAAATGAATTCAATGATGTCTTGCCTGTTTGGACTGTTCCTGTCCTAAAGGGCTTGCAGTGCAGTATTATGGTGTGCAGCATTTGACGTGGAAAATCCACCAGCAGGGTGAAATACAAGCAACTTGCAGCTTAAGCTTATTTTGAAGCAGACAGTAGAGCCTAGATACGTTTAGAAACAGGCTCCTGATCCCCTGTGATGGATTAGTAGATGTTAATGATACAAGCTTAGAATTTTCTTCAATTTTTTCATGTAAGGCTTTTGTTTAAAACAGGCTCCTTACCAGCATTGTTACCTGATTTTTATAGTGAATGTTGCATACTTGTGTGTCTAGCAGTGAGGCAGTGGGAAGATGTTTCGTGAAGTAGCTGGTACAAACCCAAGAACTATCTTCTGAGTCTCTGTATTGTCCTGTTCACTTTATCTTGTTGCTAAAAGCCAGTTGGTCAAACTTGCTTAATGACTTGAGTAAACTATGTGTTATATACAGATACATTGTCAGCTATACAAGAAATGTGAACTTCTGCATTGTTGGTAATCATGTTGCTTCCAAAAGTAACTGCAGTGCAGGAATCAAATGCAGTGCTGCTAAAATTATTTTGGTGATCTTGCCTTGACTAAGATTGAAACTGTCCAGTTGAAGGAGATTGTACACTAAGAACACTGAAATTCACATTACTGCTTAAGGAGATATTAAATAGTGTGAGTGGGAAAATGAGCAATATGTGAAAGGCACAATTCTGACTGACTTCAGCTGTGTCTTGAATACATTATATTTCACCTACATTCTGAATTGGCTTGCACCGTCAGGTGTCTAGTCATCACGTCACTGTCTGACCTAGCTGAAGTAACGGGCTTGTGGCAGCACTGCACTGTGAATTGTGCTATGCTGATCGGATTGAAGATCTGTTTAACAATTTGCTTTATAGGCTAGGTATAATATATAATACAGGCTAGATCAGAGATTAACTGTAGGTAAACTGTTAACATGTATTTGAAGACAAGGCAAGTATTGTATTTTAGAATGTGGTTCTTCAGAACTTCTTCAGATAGACTAACTAGAACAGAAAAAGTAATTTTTCTCTTTTGATTGTGTAATGATCTGCCTGTAAAGTTCATGTGCTGAATTACAGCTGTAGCCTTTAAAGATGCTGTTTGGATAAATCCTGCAGAACTGTCTAATATAATTCCAAAAAAGAGCTACAGTGACAAACTGAGTCACCCTGATTCTGTTGATGATGGCCTGAAGTGAGCTGTAGCATCTTCCATGGTCCCTGTCTGGAATGTTCTCTTCTTCCTTAAACCCTGTGTCTAAGCTTGAAAGATACAGAAGAGTGTTAGCTGATCTCTAATAAGTGTTGAAAATTAACTGAATTAATCTTGCTGGCTTTAGTTTGATAAAGAGATAAATCTACAGAAGATAAATCTAGCATAAGGATAGAGGATTTGGGGTGGCAGGTTTTTGATAGAAGCAGTGAGTGCAAAAAGGCTGTTCATGGGCCTAAGTCTTTGTCATCACAAGAAAATAGGATGGCATTGTCTACAAAGTAGAATTCGGCTGTGACTGAAGGTGTTTCTTTCAGCTCCCTGTTTATTGAAAGAGTAGTGATGGGAAGAGAGGGAGTGAAGTGGTTGAAGTCCCTTCAGGCTGCTCAGTCCAGATTGAAGATGTGCTGTAAGGGCATAGTCCAGACTGGCAAAATCAAATGGCCTTTACACTTCTAGTCAGTTTGTTCTGTGCAGAGTGGCCTTACCATGGGAGTCCAGAGATCTTCAAGTTAGTCCAGAGTGTCTGAATGCTTAATTAAAGGAAATTAATGGTGTCTGTTTATCTTCCTTCTAGATGGATTGAATCTTGTCTGTTGAATGCCTCCATATTTCCTATTGGATTTCACGTCTGGAAAAATACTTTTGATTTAAGCCACTCTGTGGCAGACTGAATTGTGGATCCAGGGTTCCTAAGACTTCAGATCTTGAAGAGGCAGCCACTGCTGAACTGTGTCAACCTGACATCGCAGCCACAATGGTGCTGTCACAAAGGCAACGAGATGAACTGTAAGGAATGGTTAATTTTGTGTCACATTTTCATTAAACTTTTAGTATTAACTTTGGTTTGCAAATAGATTTTAGAGTGGCTCTGCTCACATGCCAGTCAAGTAGCATGTATTATGGTTTAGATCTCTGTACTCTTGTTTTTGATACAGCCACTGGTATTCAATAATGGAATTGGGAGTGGTGAAAATGTAATTTTAAGGTTGTTAACGGCATAAAAATGGATTCTTGCATTTGTTGTAATTTGTTAGCCACTCTTTTGTTTTGAGTGCAGTCACAAAGCTACAAAAGGGTTACAGCAAGCAGCAAATACATTGCACTCATGCTCCAGGCTGATTTGTGATTTCTGCTTTTATCTTAAGTAAATTCTAACATTTCTTTATTTTACTCTGAAGTAGGTATAAGGATCTGATTAGAATGTGCTATATTGTCATTACAATCTTTCTTTGGCTCCTTAAATTGTATTTAAAACTATATTTAAAGAGAACTATATGTTATATTTATATAAACTATTTAAAGAGAAAAAAAGATAACCAAGCCCAAACAAAATAATAAAAAAAACTTACCCTGCCCCCACCATAACTCAATTTAGGATATGGAATTCTTTCTGGATTTTAGGGCTAGGAATATGCTGTTAAGTTCCATGTGTCAGTTGGCTCTCTCCTCTGTAGTGACTGGTGGGTGGCAATGACTTGCTGGAGGTGCAGTGTCATAAACTTACATAAAGTTTGTGGTCTGGTTTTTATTCCTTTTAAAAGTATCATTTAGTGTTTGGTGTCTGTCTTGTCTGTCATAAGGGGATTTTTTCTTAACACAGCACTTTTCCAGTAGAGAATGCCTTGTGTAGATGCCCTTCAGTTTTTTGTTTTTAAAAAGCATCTGTGTATCAGTTTACTTAAACATGGCAGTATGCGTGTCTTCTCCCAGCCTCTATGTATTTGTGTACACACATATAAGAAAACAAAACTAGACTTCCTTCTGGAGGCTGGTAAAGTAACTGAAAATAATTTTACAATCGTGTCTGTTTAGAACATTGAGCTTACTTCTCTTAAGCAAACTTTCTTTGTGTAAATTGAAAATATTTACTAATTTGAAGTAAGTTTCCTTAGTCATATTCTCTGCTGACAGCTCAGGTGCTGCTGACTGATTGTTGAAGTCTTAAAATAATATTGAAACTTTGTGAGTAAGTCCAAAACAAATGCATGCTGTTTTGAGAGAGGTTCCAGAAAGATTAGTTTGGTGATTGTCTTGTGTCAAAGTTGGAATCTTTTGAAGAATATTTTAAGGTTTGGAGCATATTTTAATGTTTGGTCACAGGCAGTATCCCTTCCTGTAATTTAACTGGAAGTGAGTTTTAACATACCTAATAACTCTGAGTGTTGTACTGCACTGGAGACTTAAGTGTTGACTGTGCTTTTTTCAAATGTAAGAAGTCTGAACCAATTCTTCTGCTCTTGCCTTCAGAACTGTGGCTGAAGATCCTGTTCTTTGTTTTTTAGAAATCGAGCAATAGCAGATTACCTTCGGTCCAATGGCTATGAGGAGGCATACTCAGTTTTTAAAAAGGAGGCTGAATTAGATGTGGTGAGTTCAAACAAGATTCTTACCTGTCTTTTAAGTAAAGAGTTTGTAATTTTATGGCATTTGCATCCATGCTGAGCATGTATATCAATTATCTACCTATTAGCTCGTGCAGTTTCAGAAGTGGAGTTTAAAAGCTCACACAGCTTATTGCCTTGTCATAAAATTTAAAAAATATTCCTTGGATGATGTGGCAATTTCTGAGCAAAACTTTTTACTGTTTTTTGTATTCGTGTCTGGCTGTGCCTCTTATCTATACAATGCTGAGTTTCTCCTGTATGGAAATTCTAAGCATCCAAGTCCTGCGAGTGCCCAGATATTTCAAGATGAAAGGTGCTAGAAAACAAAGCTAGCAAAAGGCAATGTGAGTGTATAAGAAAGGTGATAGAAGATGGTATATAAAAAACCCAACAACATAGCCCTTCACTGGACTCAGTGCAGCAACTCCTAGGACTGGAGCATCTCTTGTGTGGGGAGGGGCTGAGAGAGCTGGCACTGGAGAAGAGGAGGCTTAGGGGATCTTATTGCTATTTATAAATATACAATGGGTGGGTGTGCAGATGACAGAGCCAGGCTCTTCTCATGCTGCCAGTGACAGGACAAGAGGTGGTGGGCAGAAGTTGAAACACAGGATTTCCATCTGAACTTAATACAAAACTGAAGACTGTGCTGTAACCAGACCTGAAATGGTGTAAGACTGTGCAGATTTGGGGGCTGGCTTGAATGTTTAAGAAACAGGAAGATAAAAGAGGATTGCTTTTGTCCTTTCCTTTATCATATAGAGCAAATAAGGTCTGGCTTGTGATTGAAATTGGGTCAGTGGTTAAATTGTTGCCTGAAATTGTTGCACACCAGTTGGCTACCCCTGTAGTAAAAGGGAAGCCTGAATGGTCAGTGTTGTTGGGCTGCAGGGATTCTGTTGCCTTAGACCAGTCATGTCTTGCAACTGATTGCTGTTGATTTGCCTTTGTAGCATACAGTTCTTGGTATCCTTTTTAAACTTGTCTCTTACTAGCATAGGTGGTGTGCATTTCATCCAAGTTTCCTTGGAGATACCTGGATTGAGTCTGAGACTTCAGTGTGCTGGCTTGTGATAAATCCTTGCTTTTTCACTTTATAAATCTTCTATTGTTCTTCTTCCAAAATGCTTGGTTTAAGTTTGACTTAGTTTCTCCAATCTGCTTCCAGTATCTAATAAATAAGTAGAAATGACAAATTGGAATACCATACTTTATAATTGAAAATCCTAATACCATTCCCTTATCTGCCTTATCTATCAACCCAATTAAGTCTTCTCTTCCCAAAGGTTAAAAAGGCAATATAAATAGGCTAGATGGTCCTGAGGGAAACAGAAAAATGCAGTTGCTAAAAGTTTCACATGACTTTCTTGCAAGAAAATTTGAATTGGATGGGGCTATGGTAAAATTACTACTACTACAAAAAAAAAAAGTTAGAGGCAGAAATTATTTCAGTAAATTGGAAAGATTCAAGCGTAGGAGAAAGAAGGATTTCAGATTTTGTATTGTTTATTGCTGCAGATAACTCCAGCTTTTACAGGCCACTGAAATAATCAACATCTAGTCTCTGACTGAAGTAGCCAGTCCTCATATTTTATGGAGTATGTCATGCCATTGTTATTTCCCCAATACCTTTCTTATTCTCCATCTCATTTAGACTTATTCTAGTAGATGGATCTGAAAAAGGAAACTAATTGCCACTTGTATACATCTTGGTCCCTGCAGTCAACCCTGCTGCTGGTTTTCTAAGAGTGGGATGGGGGGAATCCTGTAACAAAATATGGTACAACATTCTCAGATATGGAGAGAAGGCAGCATAGATACCAGTTTAGTCCTAGTTCTAGGATTTTATTTGCAGAATTTAGCATCATTAATCTGCACTGCTGCAGCATTTTTAATTAAAAATTATATTTTAAAGTGTTTTTCTGTGTATGTAAATCGTAGCTATTAAGAGAAGTGTGGTTGTTTAATAAAACTGATCAGTCTTCTGCTTGAATTCCTCTTTCTGTGGTCAAGAGATTGTATTAAAATCAGCTGTTTATGTTGCCTTTGAAGAAACGCTTCTGCAGGCTTTAGAACTAGAATTTATTAATTTATTTAAATGCTCCTCCTCAGAATGAAGAGTTAGATAAGAAGTATGCTGGACTTCTGGAGAAAAAATGGACATCTGTCATAAGATTACAAAAGAAGGTAAGTAGAGACCTGATGGACTTACTTGTATTAGAAGTTGTGACTCAAATCAAGTATTCATCACTACAGATTTAGAAAATGGTGCCTCAAAGATTAATTTTGAGGACTTGAGAAGGGAAAAGAGCAAAATCTGTGTTGTAGAAAATGTTTTGTCTATCTCAGTGCTAGCAGAGACAGCCTCTGTTTCTTTATAAAAATTGCTTGACTTCCATTTGTGGATTGTATATGCGGAGGTGCCTTAAGGCAAGTTTGTGAGCAGGAAGGTTGAACAGCCATCTCCAGCAGGCTGCCCTGGTTTAGAAAGATGGTAAAAACTGTGCTGCCAGTTGTCTTTGGCTATGATGTTAATGGGAATAAACCATTAACTCCAGTCAGTCCATTAGAATAAGTGATTCTACTGCAAGTGGACAATACAAAACTCTTTTTAGTAATGCTTTAATGGATCTAGGGTGCATTAAAAGATTTAAAAAAATTAAAATAAGTGTGCTAACAATAATGATCTATCTTTTGTAAAGGTTAAGAGATCTAGGGTTTTATGACACCTTCAGTTTCTCTGCTTTTGGTTAACATGCATGTGTCATCTCAGGGATACAAACAGTTATTGCAGTGTTGGTGTATTGTGCATGAATTATTGCATTCCTTTTTGCTCACAAGCTCCTTCAATAGTTTGTCAAAACAGTTGCTCAAACATTTGCACAGTATTTGAGTGAATGTGATTTCATAGAATGTTTTTTCTGTCAAAATATTTGTGAAGTTGGAGAAGAATAAATTATTAAAGAATAAACAGGAAATTATTAACTTAGGTTTGTTTTTTAAAAATGCCAGCAGTATTGAATGTGGGTAATCAGTTTGTGTCCATGCAGTCTTTGCTTGACTGTGAGTTTAGGAGCCAGTTGTTATGTGGATTATGATAAGATGAACCTTGGTATAAACTGGAACTGAATGGTCTCTTTAAAATTAATTAACTTAGGTAATGGAATTAGAATCAAAGCTGAATGAAGCAAAGGAAGAATTTACATCAGGGGGACCCCTTGGTCAGAAACGAGACCCTAAAGAGTGGATTCCTCGTCCTCCAGAGAAGTACGCGTTGAGTGGACACAGGAGTCCTGTCACTCGAGTCATTTTCCATCCAGTTTTCAGTGTTATGGTTTCTGCTTCAGAGGATGCCACAATAAAGGTGTGTGTTTGCTACAGAAAATCAAACTAAGCTGGTCAGAGATGTACAATTTGTGCCATCAGTGCTTTAAGCTGGTTGTGTGTTCTGAGGGTTGATGGGTTGTGTCAGACTCTTGAGTGAGTGTCAGTGGGGACAGTTCAGAGTGCCTTCAGCTGCAGGAGGATGGCAGAGCAGTCAGTATAGTGAGGTGATAAGAGGGAGGGAGGCAGTTGCCTTAGTTATCTGAAGAGGTTATTTTTAAAGCTGAGTTGAAGTGGCTATGCAGCTGTATTCTTAACGGAAAATGAATTCTTTCCGTGGATTCTAAATGGGGACATGCAAGTCCCATGAAGTCCCTGTGACTTTCAGTAACTACGTGGTCTTCACAGGCCTTTATTGCAATGCTTAGTGGCTTTAAGAGATGTGTTACAGTTTCTCATTTTAGCATCCAGTAGATCTATGATAAGGCATTTTGTTGTTGTTTGAATGTCACAATGTAAGGGAATTACCCCAATAAAGGATACTTCTCATTCTCCTCTACACTGGTTGAGAACTATTTGGCACAGGTGCTGTTCTGAAAAACACTGAGTAGCATACTAAGTAATATGCTTAAAAATTCAAGTACTTCTAATAGTGTTGGAGAAGATAAAAACAGAGTCAGCCAGACCTAGTTGATGAAGAGCTTAAATCTGTTCTTGTTTCTGCAGCAGACTTGAACATAGAGACCTAGTGTTTTTTTCTTCAAGCAGACAGGGCCAGTGGAAACAGTGACAGTTCAGTGTTTGTTAGATGTTACAGGGGAGCCTAATTAGCTTGGTTTTGTTCCTTCTTATGTATACACTGGATGAATTTCCTTATTCTTGAAGTCAAACTGGGTAGCTTAATTTCTGACTGTTGCATTCCCAATGATTGCCATCTATTGGCATGATGGCTTGTTTTTGTTGTTGGGTGGGCTTTTTGGCTTTTTTGGGTGTTGTATTTTTAAGGGTATAATTTAAAATGAAATGTCTAATTTTGCTTGAGAGACACAATAGCATCTGTAGGAGCTTGTTTTGTTTCAGAGGCTTTTGTTTGGTGTTAGATGATAGAAGACTGACTTAATTAGGAGGTGAGAATGGTGACCTCCTGTTATCTTGCAGTTATTAACACCAACAATTTATTTAATCTCTGACCATTTCTGTAATGTATTAATATGTGCATATCAGACTCTTCAGAGTGGTTTGAATTATAGTCCCTAAACCATTCTGGATGTTGCTCTTTAGTATGCAGAATATTTGCAATTTGGTTCAGAAGCAGCAAGTAAATTCTGGAGCCACAGTAAAGCTTGGGAATGGGAGGCTGTGGGGATTGTTACAGATGGTGCTTTCCCCACCACCTGAAAACTGGCTGTATTACTGGAGTCAGGGAACTTCCATAGGAGGATCGGGAAAAAAACAGTCTGTACAAAGTGGATATGTTCTCTCCAGTGTTTTCTAAATTGATCTTCTGTATTTTTAAGGGTATTGAGTGTTAAGACTTCTAGATGCTGTAGAACTGACTTTCCTGCTGTGTATAAAATGCTTTAAGTTAGCTGAAAAACAGCTTTCAAAATGTATGAATTCAGTTAATTTATAAGTAACAAAATCACCTAAAAATAACATATTTTTTTTTCTACGCTGTTAGGCTTTTTAGGACTGTCTTTGCCTCTTGCTCATTTAATTATTGAATAAAGTGCCAGACTGGCCTGCAGAATGCACATATAAGGCTGGTGAATACAAAGAGTAATAGGTTGTTGCTAATGGATTTTCTGTTCATTTGTCAGGTGTGGGATTATGAGACAGGAGACTTTGAACGAACCCTTAAGGGGCATACAGACTCTGTGCAAGATATTTCCTTTGACCACACTGGCAAACTGTTGGCCTCCTGTTCTGCTGATATGACCATTAAGCTATGGGATTTCCAGGGCTTTGAGTGCATCAGAACTATGCATGGTAAGGTTTAAAGGGGATTGGTTTTAGCAGTCTGTAAAGTAAAGAGAGGTTGATTTGGTTGTTTTTTTTTAATCCAGGAAAGCTGCTGATGTGGGAAGGGGTTATAAACCAGAGTATTGTCCAAAAGAAAGAGCATTGTTATTTTGATGCACTGAGTGCTCTGTAAATAAGGTATATGTTTAGTGTCTGTGGAATGAAATAGCATCTCCAGTCTGCTCTGCACGGTGCTGTGGGAAGCATCATGCAGTATTGAAATGAAATGGCAGTTGAGAGGTTTAGTGCTAAAAATTAAATGCTTACTAGGCCATAACTGTGCCTTCAAATCAGTAAAAAATTTACCTTCTTCACTCCTCTGTTTGCCTGATGTACTGCTTCAGGAAGGAAACAATTAGTGTGAAAGGTGTTGGCACATACTGTGCCAGGCTCACAATGGACAGTGCCCTCTGCATTAGGCTCCAACTCACAGGAAAAAATGGGAAAGTAAACGAACCACAACTATAAGGCTATAATATTGATAGCAACTATTTATTTTATAATCTTGATGTAAAAGCAATTTATTATACTGTTTCTTGTCTTGTGTTGAATATCTTCTTGTAGAAGTGGAGATTATGAATAGAGAATGTTTGAGACTTAGGAAAATAAGCACACACATGTACACTAAAGCAAATAGAAAGCTGTTGACTCTTGTGTGTACAGTTTTTTAAATGCCACAGAACACTCAGAGGAAGAACAGACATTGCAGCTGGCTGATAGCCCTCTGTAACACTACTTTATTTTCTTGCTTTTTTTGGCCCTTAAAGGTCTCTGTATGAACACATGTGCAATATGTATATTGCTATGAACTGTTTGTAAGGAGCATGGGTAAACTAGCTGCACCTGTGTTGCCAGTTGCATCCCTTCAACTCCATTTCAAGTAAAAATAATTAATCTTTTAAGTGAGGAGTTGCAAAGTACCATACTTTCTCTGGCACTGATATTCTCTGACTCTTCAGATACCTGATTGCTGGTGTGACTGCTTTTCACTAGGACTTTACTGGGGCACCAAGTTCTTAGTGGGGAAAATGGAAACTAAAATGATGAAATAGTACATTGTGGGTGCGTGGCTTGCACAGTGTGTCAGCAGACTAATCAGACCTAATTGATAGTTTTTAAGACAGTCACTGTAGCAACTCTCTCTCCTAAACTTCCAGCTGTTGTAGGTGTGTAGAAGTGTTGCTTGCAGTGGTGAGTGTCTGTTTTTAAAACATCTTAAATTTTTGAAACAATTTTAAAGGATGCTCAATGTCTGGACTCTGTGGTTTCTAAAAATACAAATTATTATTTCATAACACCCCAAGTTTACATGTAAATATTATTCTATAAAACGTACACTACTGCTATAGCTACTTGCCCAAGATCAATGTATAGCAAGTCCTGTGTGCTGTATAAAAGCTGTTAAAGTACCACTTAATAAAGATTTAAACATTTATTATTTTTTTTTAGGTCATGATCACAATGTTTCTTCAGTAGCCATCATGCCCAATGGAGATCATATAGTTTCTGCCTCAAGGGATAAAACTATCAAAATGTGGGAAGTCCAGACAGGGTAAGTCCACTTCAGGCTAAAGATCAGCACCTAAACAAAAAAAACAGGAGCCACTGTTTATAGGAAATGGGCCACATAAATCCTGAATGTCAGGAAACGTTTGAATTGAGGTAAGATATTGTGCCCTTTGGAGTAACTCTTAAGGATTCTGCCTTAAATCACAGCAGAGAGTTTTAGGGTTTGGTACTGACTAATTAAAACTATCTGCTTTTATCTTTCTGGGAGCTATGAGGGTAGAACACCATAACTCAGGACCATGTAGGAATATGAATTCAGTGGTTAGCCACAAGTGTAAAGGGAGCATGAGAGAAGGGAGGAGAAATCTGTTACCTTTTTGACAATGATCAAAGTGGTTCCTGATTTATTTTTGTCTTCTTCCTTGTTGTCTATTTAAACCATCCATTTGCTAAAAGTTCTGGATGAAGGCTGTCTGAATGACCTGCAAGTCTTTACTTCTGAAAATACCTATTCAGTGCAAGCTGTCCTGTCAGCTTTGTTTTTTCCCTGAGCTTCCTGCATTCTACCTTAACAAGGCTTTGCCAGTTCTTGGCTGTCAGTTCTTTCCCCTAAGCTTCCTTCCCATGAACTGTTCTATGGTCTTGTGCATCACCAGCCAGGGTAGACACATGCATGCTGAAATATTTTATCTTAACTTATAAGAGTAGGCCAAAAGTCCTTAGGTTTGAAAGGCATGTCTAGTGGGTATATGGCAGTGTTCACTGAGTCCCACTGTGTTTCTCTGTTGAACAGTTACTGTGTGAAGACTTTCACGGGTCACAGGGAGTGGGTGCGCATGGTGCGGCCCAACCAGGATGGCACCTTAATTGCCAGTTGTTCTAATGACCAGACAGTGCGTGTCTGGGTGGTAGCGACGAAGGAATGCAAAGCTGAGCTCCGAGAACATGAGCACGTGGTAGAATGCATCTCCTGGGCTCCTGAGAGCTCCTACTCCACCATATCAGAAGCTACGGGATCAGAGGTAATGTTTCTAATGCTGTTAAACAGGTACAGACAGTAGGATTTTTGACTATGCTCTATATGAAACTTACTGGATAGTATTTAGAACAATGAA